TGCCTGCATCAACAGAGCCATCTGCAGCTCTCATCAATCAAAGGAGGGCACTGACGTGCTCAGCACATTTCGAGACACAGATAAACATCCAGATGCTGTAAATTGCTGAGCTCTTGTTTGTTGTTGTTGTTGCTTCAGTGCAACTCCCTCCCCACCAGCTCTGAGCTGAGGGGCTGCTTTGGCCCTGCAGGAATTGCATCCAGAGTCTGGGAGTGCTTTGGTTCCTGCCAAGTGTTCCTACCTGGGCAGGGGGAGCTGCCACTCAAGGTGGAATATGCAGGAGCTGAGAAAATAATTGAGTTTAAAAAAAAAAAAATAAAACCAATCCATCCACATCTGGAGTTTCTCTTAGTGCTGGTGATGGGTATTTCTGATGCTGCTTTAAATATGAAGTGATTTGAGGCTGTTCCCAGCTCTGGGGCACTCAGAATAAGATGTAGCTGCTGCAGTGAATCCAGAGAAAGCCACGGAGATGTTCCAAGGGCTGGAGCTCCTCTGCTCTGGAGCCAGGCTGGGAATGCTGGGGGGGTTCACCTGGAGAAGAGAAGGATCCAGGGAGACCTGAGAGCCCCTGGCAGGGCCTAAAGGGGCTCCAGGAGAGCTGGAGAGGGACTGGGGACAAGGGATGGAGGGACAGGACACAGGGAATGGTTTCCCACTGCCAGAGGGCAGGGATAGATGGGATATTGGGGAGGAATTCCTGGCTGTGAGGGTGAGGAGGTCCTGGCACAGGTTGCCCAGAGCAAGCTGGTCTGGTGGAAGGTGGCCCTGCCCGGGGCAGGGGGGTGGGATGAGATGGTTTTTAACCATTGTAGGATTCTATGATATCTAGAAGTTGAATAGCTGGATATTATTTATGCTATTCATAATATTTTGAGGCTGCTTTACAGCATGAATCCATCTGGGTAGATCAGTCATTATAAAGACTAATTTAAAAATAAAAAAAAATAAAAATTAGTATCATTTAATATATTTTGTCTTGCAGTATTTTCATGTTCAGACAAACTTACAGACATGAAAATTGTGCAAACTTAATAAAAGGAAGCCAGCAGCCTCTGGCTTGTTCAGATTGCAGAGATTTATACATCTCTTTTTTTTACAATTGCCACGTTTTCATGTACATAACCCCCATTTTCCCTTTGAGGACACACTCATGCCTCAGCTATAATGGGACTGCACATCTGTGGAAGTACAAAGGGAATTTTAAATACCCTTTCCAGTGGTTTCTTTTCCAAAAGCCTTTTCCAGTAATCACCCTTTCCCAAAAGCTGTTTTAAGCCATAGATTATTTATGATTATTTGTTCCCTTCTCTCTTCTCTACATCCTCTCTTTACCTTCCCTACTTCTACACCTCCTCTCTGCCTTTTTCTCCCTGTTGCAGGGAGTCTTTGCCAGGAGATGGGAATTTCTGTGCATGTTCAGCTGCCTCAGAAGGGGAAAACAAAATGATCTGTGGATCATCTGAAAATTCAGGTTCCATAAGGATGTTTTTTCTACAAAGGAGAAAAGTTTAAGAGATGGTTGTGGTTTTTTTTTTTTTTGTGTAGACTTTACACATGAATATACAGAATAATTTCTAATTATTTCAGAATTATGTTTAAGCATAAAAACTGAGTTTAACCTTCTCAGGGTGCATTTTAAACGAATGTATTCTTCTGCATTCACCATCTGACTCCTGCACAAAGACATCAGCAAAGAACTGCTCGAATTAACACGTCACAGGAATCAATTTATCTCCAGAAAGCCGGAATGAAAAACAATTACACTGATTATCATCAGGCAACTGGCCTTTCTGAAGGAAATCTTGTTCCTTCCCACTGCAAGCTCTTATTTCCCATCCAGGTAGGATGAGCACATGGTGAATATCCTTTGGATATATTTTCAATTTAGCTGTTATCCAGAAGAAAGGCACAAACAAAGTCTCAGCAAATGGACTGGGGTTAGGATTGCAGATTTGATTAGGCTGAAGAGCTTGATATTAAGATCATATCTTGCAGAAGGTAATTTTCTGTGGGTGGACCTCATCGCTGCAAGAGATGTGGTGTCCCCCAGATTTCAGTCCAGCTCTATTCAGACACACACAAAAAACAGCACAACACAGAGGCACTTCCACACAAAGACTAAAATTATGCTTTATGTGCGTGAAAACATCACATTTTAGAGCAGAAACGTCACCTACCCCAGCCAATAATTGTGTACCAGTAGAAATACCTCCTCTCTGGGAAGAAGGTTTCCACCAGCAGAGTGAAAAGGTACAACCCCTCGATGAACAGCCAGAAGTAGTTGGACATGACGCAGTAGTGGAAAAACACCATCACTGCTTTGCACTCCACCTGCAGGGAGAGGGGAGGAAACAAAGTTATTAACGCATCGCTTCCACCTAACAGTGAGAAAAAAAAATGCTTTTGACCTCTTCAGGTCTCTCGGTGGAAAGAGGTGGGGCTGGGATTGCGCATTTTTAATGGTGAGGTTTTTAAAGGAGGAGAAGAATGGGAGGTACCACTGAAGAGAGCGACGCCTGAAAGGGCAGGAGGGTGATTTGAGCAGTGGGAGGTGGTCAAGGAGCATCAAGCAGTCTTGCCCTGGGGGGAGTTCACATGCTCAGTGAACACTGAGTGTGAGATTTAAGCCACCCCTTCCCGAGGATGAAGTGCAGGGAAGGAAAGGATCTGGCTGTGTTTTGAGGATATGACGTGGCAGGAGGACTGTGGGGAACCCCGAGAGTGGGCTCAGGGAGGATGCACCTCCTGAGTGCAGGTGGGATTTGCACTTCCTTGACATCATCGAGGAGGAAAAAATGAAAGTAAGTGTGAGAGGAAAGAAGGCTGAGTGATTAACTGTAAAAAATGATGGAAACTTTCATTCGCTGATGGGGGAGAAAGCAGCAAATAATAAAAAAATACTAGAAAGAAAGGGTTTGTTTAGCCCAGAGAAAAGGGGCTCAGGGGAAACCTTATCACTCCCTGTGATTACCTGAAAGGAGGTTGTAGCAAGGTCTTCTCCCAGGTAATAAGTGATGGGACAATAGGAAATGACCTCAAATTGCACCAGGGAAGGTTTATATCGGATATTAGTGAAAATTCCTTCGTGAAAAGGTTGTCAAACCGTGGAAGAGGCTGCCCAGGGTGTTTAAAATATCCCTGGAGGTATTTAAAGACCTGTAGATGTGGCACCTGGGGACATGGTGTAGTGGTGGACCTGGCAGTGCTGGGTTAGTGGTTGGACCCCATGATCTCACAGGGCTTTTCCAAACTAAACCATTCTGTGATTGTCTGACAAAACCCTAAGGTGGAAAACGAGCTCTGCCCTGACTCTGTGAGAGCAGGACACTCTGGTCTCTTCAGTGATGTTTTTAGATGTTTTAGATGTTTTTAGTCCTACAAAACCACGATTTCTCAACAAATCAGAGCAGAATCAGTAGATAAACTGGAAGCCCCTGCCTGGGGCAGTGGGAACCTCGCAATTTTGGCTGGTTCCCACCTGCCCTCCACCCTCTGGGCCAAATCTACAACCAATGTGTTTCAACCACCAGATCTTGGGTTCGTTCACAGCAACTCTACCAGGAGGATCTGGTGGTTGAGTGGTGGGTTTTGATGTGCACTGTGCTTTGAGTGTTTCAGAACAAAGAGGCAGATGCCACCACTGGAAGAGTGGCAGGAACAAACTACAGAACTAACATGGCTTCAGTTTTACCACAGAGAAGAATTAAGAGCAAAAAGCAGTTTCAGTGACAAAGAAAAGGCTGACTAAGAAACTCCACAGCTGCACTTTCCTTGTGGAAGTGACTCATAGGGAATTTAGCTCATAAGTGGATGGATAAAGGAGAAGTCAGTTTGTAATTCCATCATAATTACACCCAGTGAGCTGATTTATCACATCAAACACCAGCCTGAACGGTGAAAGAAATTGGGATTTACACATAATGTAGAGCTGAATGCTTCTGTGAAAGGGACTGCTTTTCATGAACCTCCACGCTTCAGAGACAAACATGTGGCTCATAGCAATGGTTTGCTGGGAGTGTGAGCATCAGATGCATTTTCTATGTGAATGGTCACCCTGTTTACACATGACTGTGCATGACATCCAGAACAAACGGGGCTCTGGAGGAAAACCAGACCTGCAGAGGAAGGAAATTGCTTGTGCCTGCTCTCATCCCACTGCTCTCTGCAGACTGTGAAAGGGAGAAACAGCCTGAGCAGAAACCAAAACCTGTAGGTGTGTCCTGAAGGATTGCTCATGGTGATGTCATGAGATATAACAACCAGTTTGGCTGTGACCTGGAAGGGCAGTTTACCCGCTTTTCTCTCAATGGCATCTCAGTTTATGATACCCAACAGGCTTGTGCCTGCATCGCT